AGCACACAGCTAAGCAATGCAATGGCGGCATCAGTCTTGCCGCCGGCCAGATAGTGGTAGTGCTATGCATGGCTCATGTCCGGCACGGCAGTAACCTAATTACCCATCAATCCGGTAAATCGGTGTAAATCCAAGACAAATGAACCGTGCTGTGGACGTGCTGTGCTGTGTGGTTCGAGATAGTGATAACAGGCTGGTTGGTTACTGAAGATAGCCGGTCATGAGGCCATGGCCATGCGCAAGGCATGGAGGTAGTATGTTATTGGTCGATCCGTCGCATTCAGGACAACACCGTGGCCTCCTCCTCTTGTCTCTAACTTCATGTAGTGCAGTGCAAGTCTGTGCAGGCGTCAATTATTTCAGCTCTTCTCTTCTGTATAAAATCAAGATCCTGGAGAAGATTTTGCTGCCTTTCTACGGCATCGGCATGGCATGAGTAAGGACAGACTCACTGTCTCCCTGAATGGAGCGATCCCTGATGGGCATACGTACATGAGCTGATTCTGCTGCAACGGCTGTAGAATGTTTGGAAAGACTTTGGTATCAAACAAACGTGATCCTTGCAGTTCGATCAAATTCGCTCTAACATTCCAGCTACCTACTGATATAATGTGTCACAAGTTTCATGGATGAGATGGAGTGGGAGCCTGAGCCTGTTTGCACTTGCACTGCACACATCTGAATATCTGATATGGTATGGAGTGTAGTATGGAGACACGGACTATGAATGAGGATAGGCAACCACAACCACTGAAGAAAGAATGGAAAAGAGGGAGCTTTAGAGATTTCCTCAAGAGAGAGAGAGAGAGAGAGAGAGGGAGCTTTAGAGAGATGTGCCATAAATTGGGTCCTCATGGTTAGCAGGACTTGTGTAAATGCTCCGAGATTTCCGTCGCCACTTGTCTGTTTTTTTAACTGCACGTTCAGGAAACTTGCCTAGTACTGTCAGTACAGATATGATAGAGCAGTGCTCCTAGAAGAAATGGCAAGCTGGCAGTGCACAAGGGATTTTCTTCAAGTGGTCGCCACCATAGTAGCAAAGGAAGAACTGAAACATCAAGATGGCATTTATTTCCCATCTCATACATATCTTTGCTTCTAGGTCTTTGTTATGGTGGGAAAGGTATACCACCGTCGAAACAAGACGAGTGGCTAAGGTAGTTGGGTGGGGGCTTGCACCAGAAGTGCGGCAACCAGGGCCAGGCGTGGGAGCCGGGCTGGGCTCCAGCCGGTTCAGTAGGAGATTAGTTATTAGGAGAGCTATTTTAGTTGGAGTTTGTTAAGTCAAGTTTGTTAGCCCTTAGATTTAGGAGAGGTTTGTTATTGAGTTGGTATAAGTGTCAAACAATCAAAAGGAATAAAGATCAGCCTGAGATTGAGTTTATCTCACCTTGGGCCCTCGGGCGTTACTGTTCACGGTCTCCTGTTGTCACCGAGCTTCCAGCCAGGCGCCGAGCACAGCACCGCCAGTTCATCGCCGGGGTTTCAAGCCCAGGCCTCTCATCTCCCACTCCTATGCCCTCAGGTCCATAAGCTCCAATAACCTGACATCTCGCTCTACTTCATCGAAGGACTGCCGCGTGTTAATGGCAAGAGCGTCATCTTAACGATGGTCGATCGCTTCTCCAAGCATGCGCACTTTATCGCGCTCGGTCATCCGTATACCATGGCGTCGGTTGCCAAGGCATTCTTCGAGGCCATCGTTCGCCTGCACGGGTTCCCCAACTCTATTGTCAGCGACAGGGACCCCGTGTTCACTGGCAATGTGTGGCGGGATCTATTCTAGTTGGCGGGGTCAAGCTCCGCCTCAGTACGACGTTTCACCCGCAAACTGATGGCCAATCGGAAGCAGTCAACATGACCATTGCCATGTATTTGCGCTGCATCACCGGCGACCGTCCCCGTGCTTGGTTGGAGTGGCTACCCTGGGTAGAGTACTGCTACAACACGTCCTACCACACTGCCTTGCGGACTTCGCCATTTCAGGTTGTTTACGGCCGGCCTCCGCCTGCCTTAATTCCCTATACTGCAGGCACAGCATGCATCGACACCGTCGACGCGCTTCTCCAGGATCGAGACGCTTTCCTGGCTGAGGTGCGCGAACGCCTTCTCTAAGCCCAAGAGTATGCCAAGCGATACTACGACGGCCACCATCGCCCCTTGGAGTTTGCGGTGGGCGATTGGGTGTGGCTCCGCATCCTTCATCGACCGGTGCAGTCGCTGCTGCCGGGGCCACGGGGCAAGCTCAGCCCGCGGTTCGCCGGCCCGTTCCAGGTGACCGAGCGCTTTGGCGACGTCGCATACCGGCTGTTGCTGCCAGAAGGAGCGCGCATCCACAACATCTTTCATGTTAGCGTCCTCTAGCCGTTCCGGGGGACTCCAACAACGCCCCCGGCCCTTCCTCCACTGCGCCATGACCGTCGCCTCCAGCAGCCAGCACGTGCTCTGCGTGTCCAGCTTCGGCGGGGCGCTTGGCATGTTTTGATCCAATGGGCGGCATTGCCTGAAGATGAAGCCACCTGGGAGCCGTTGGACGAGTTCCGTGCTGAGTTCCCCGCTTTCCAGCTCGAGGACGAGCTGTTCGTCGAGGGAGGGAGTGATGTTATGGTGGGAAAGGTATACTACCGTCGAAACGAGACGAGTGGCTAAGGTAGTTGGGTGGGGGCTTGCACCAGAAGTGCGGCAACCAGGGTCAGGCGTGGGAGCCGGGCTGGGCTCCAGCCGGTTCAGTAGGAGATTAGTTATTAGGAGAGCTATTTTAGTTGGAGTTTGTTAAGTCAAGTTTGTTAGCCCTTAGATTTAGGAGAGGTTTTTTATTGAGTTGGTATAAGTGTCAAACAATCAAAAGGAATAAAGATCAGCCTGAGATTGAGTTTATCTCACCTTGGGCCCTCGGGCGTTACTGTTCACGGTCTCCTGTTGTCACCGAGCTTCCAGCCAGGTGACGAGCACGGCGCCGTAGTTCGTCGCCGGGGGTTCAAGCCCAGGCCTCTCATCTCCCACTCCTACGCCCTCACGTCCATAAGCTCCAACAGTCTTGCCATTGCTTCTTCCTGTTATTGTTATTGAAAACTAAGGGACGTCAGACTCAGAGGAAGATAGCAATACTTGGTGTAGTTCAGGTTTAGCAGCTACCATAGGTTACATTTTTCTTCTTTGTGCTCCTCATCAGAATATCATATTGTTGTTAAAAAACTGGCTGGAGATATTAGAAATTCAGGTAGATAGATCCATCTGTGAGGCTGGTCTAGCTAGCCTCTGAAGGACACAAGTGAGGGTCCTACTATCAAATTGCTTTTGGCAAGAGATGCTAAACTGAGCCCTTGTTTAGTCGGGTGAATTTGGATTTTGGGGCTACCGTAGCACGTTCGTTTTTATTTGGCAAATAGTGTTCAAACATGGACTAATTAGGCTCAAAACGTTCGTCTCGCAATTTCCCACCAAACTATGCAATTAGTTTTTATTTTCGTCTACATTTAATACTCCATGCACGTGCCGCAAACATTCAATGTGACAGATACTGTAGTAACTTTTTGGACTTTGGGGTCCAACTAAACACGGCGTGAAGTGATGTCTGGGGTCAGTCAAAATACTTACCATCTGTAAAAGAACACTTTTTTTTGCCAGTGCTGGCAGGGGGAAGAGAAGAAATGCATCTTGACCTGGTTAGACCAGCTACAGAGGCTAGCTAGGCAGCTTGTTGAGACATGACAGATGGGCTATGTTCGTGGACAAGGCCAGGTCGCACTCACACACACCCACACCCGCTCTGCAAGCTCGCCATCCATATAATTCTAACCAAGCAGAGAGAGAGAGAGAGAGAGAGAGAGAGAGAGAGAGGTACACACACACGAAAAAGTACTGTTCTTAAAATAACCAACAACACCCTTACATGTCCCTCACTCTATGAGCAAGCATCCGTCTTTCTCAGACAGCCGCAACCACCCTACTGTCCGTGCACAATCATGGAGCTGAGGAGCCTGCATCCATTTGTTTGCAGTTGCAGCCAACTTGGTGCACCGTCGTGAGGGTTTCTGGAACCAAGCATTTCTCAACGACGCCGACGCACGAGCAGACTAAGAAAAAAATGGGGGGAGAACAATAATGTGTGTGAATCCTCAGGCTGGCAACGCAATGCAGCGTGTCCTGCAGGAAACAACATCGCTCTTTCTCCCTGTACTGTTGGTACAAAGCAACTGAACTGACTACAGCACTGCACTTTTGTATTATTATGGCGCAGGCAGGCAGAGGCAGTTGGTCTCTGAATTGCTAATGCTAGTATAGCACATCTGATCCTCAGGACTGATTCAGGAGACCTGGAAATATATAAAGGAAATGGAAATACTATTCCGTGTGGATTATTTGATTGGTCAGTTGTTTTTTAGACACAGAATGCGCGCGCGACAAAGTTGACCAAGATCTTCAGCCTAATCATCTGCGACGTTCGATCGTTTCGGGGGGGGCTAGGACTATGTCAATGCCACCTACAGGGCATCGCCAACTTCCTGTCATGCTTGTTCACGGAACAATGGGTAGGGTAACTTATCCATCCTACACCCATTGTTTCCTTGGTGGTGATCCTCACATGAAAATTGACAGGAGGCAAATGTATAGTCAGTACATACTCCCAAATGCATGCAACAATGCAAGCTCGCTTGTAATCCCCACATCTGCAATTTGGCCCCAAGCCTGAAAGATGCCAATGAGCAGGTGGATCGGAGATAGTTGAACGGAGCCAATGTGCCAACACCAACGCACACAAGAATGCATGGGCATGGCACGCGCACGCACCGCCACGCCCACTGCATCTTCCTTGGCATCTTCTTCTTCTCTGTCTCCTCTCCCTACCCGCCTACCCGCCCACCTCTTGCCTTTAAAAACGCCTTCGCCCCTGCCCCTGGATGCCATTGCCACCTCGGTCGGTTGCGCGCCTCATCAGCTTGCTCGCTCGATCACATTCACATTTCGCGCGCGCAGCAGCAGCGGCAGCAGAAGGAGCCATGGTCAGGAAGCCCGCGCTCGCCTCCCTCTTCTTCAACGCCAGCGAGGGAAGCCAGCAGTGCCTTTCCTCCTCGGCATCCGTGTCCCTGTCCGCCGCCTCCTTCAGCACGGCGGCGTCGTGGCAGTGGCTGTCTTGCACGCAGGCGAGGACGCGCTCCTTCCGGGGCGACAACAGCCCGGAGATCGTGTCCATGCGCCACGACACCAGCAGCAAGCGAGAGGAGCAGCAGGAGGGGTACAAGTACAGCTACAAAACGAGCATGAACCCGGCCTACGTCCACGACTACTCATCGGCCGGCGCCGCCGATTGCTACTCCTCCAGCGGGCTCTCCGACTCCTCCGCGAGCCAGAACCTCTACCTCTCCACGGCGACAGCAGAGCCCGCCGCCGTCGCCGCGGACGAGGACGAGGCGATCATCCACGGCCTCCGCTCCTCCACCACCCGCCGGCTCCTGTTCGAGCCCGAGTCCACGAGCTCTATCGTGAAGACGGAAAAGGCCGCGGCGGCGTTCGACGGGGCCACGGCGCTGGCCATCGAGTCGGCCGACCCGTACGGCGACTTCCGGCGGTCCATGGAGGAGATGGTGCTGAGCCACGGCGCTGACGACTGGGGCTGGCTCGAGGAGATGCTCGGGTGGTACCTCAGGGCCAACGGCAAGAAGACGCACGGCCTCATTGTCGGCGCCTTCGTCGACCTGCTCGTCGCGCTCGCCTCCTCTGCTTCTGCTCCCTCCCCCGCCTGCTCCTCCAGCTTGAAGCAGAGCAGCCATCTTCAGGCTGCCAAGATAGGCGAACACCACCGAGCGCAAACAGAGTAGGCGAAGGCGAGTGCTCATCACTCATCATCAGGGTTAATGCGGATGTGTGCAACTGATTTCATTTCGTTTGATTCGTGTCATGACAAAGATCAAATGGTGCTTGTTCATTGATATCTATCTTGCGAGCTTGATTGATCATGAATCTTGCATGGCAATTGGCAATACAGATGTAGCCGTTGACTGTTGTGTAATATAATTGTATATTCTTATTAGGCCTCAAGACAGAGCTTATTAGCTTCAGTGGTTGTCCCGTCCGGTAATGAATGATTTGCGTGGTGAGTTAGCTTGGGCCGCGTTTAGTTCACCTGCGAAGTTGGCGCCGCCAAAATCAGCTACAACTGTAGCTACAGTAACTTGTTCGTTTGTATTCGGTAATAATTGTCCAATCGTTGACTAATTAGGCTCAAAACGTTCGTCTCGCAAAGTACAACCAAACTGTGCAATTAGTTTTTGATTTCGTCAACATTTAGTACTCCATGCATGTACCGCAAGTTTGATGTGACGGGGAATCTTCTTTTTGTATAGTGTCAAATTCTGGATTTTGGATGAACTAAACAAGGGCTTGGGCTAGCTAGCGACACCTCATTTCAATTTTCAAACTCGCATGCACTTGTGCATTTTCAAAATAGGGGCATGTTTGGATCCAACCCGCTAAAAATTAGCACTATATTTAGATGCTAATTAGAAGGACCAAGCATAAACTAATTTCAAAACTAATTGTATAAGCGGTGGCTAATTGGTCAGATGAAGCTACTTACCCTAATTAGCCTATGATTAGCTCAACATGGGCTAATTAGGATTAAAATAGAATAGATTCGTCTCACCAATTAGTGTTCACTTTTGGTCCTTCTATATAGCCTCCAAACATAATGCTAATTTTTAATTAGCAGCTACAATCCAAACAAACTTTCCTCAAACAAGAATCCAAACAAACTCTAAGTGACAGGGAAATATGTATTCTTGTAGGCCATGGAGATTCATACTGACACACAATTTCTTCTGGAAAAAGACAAGTTACTCATCATGCATTTTTCTTCACAAAAATGATAAAGTCTCTCTTGTTTCCACTCGCAGAACTACATAAGGCAGATGTGGTCATATTTTTTTCCATGAAATTTGGTGCAGCGTAACCATCCACTTTGCGCATGCATGCACTTTTACCATAGATCCTAGGAATGCACAAAGTGCATTTCTTTTTGTGTGTAAACTTCAAAAGAGGTGTAGTAGGTGACAGGTGAGCCGATCCTTGCTCGAGCTGGCTCTGGCTGCAGTCGTGGCCATCCCTGTCGATACGCGTACACTTCTCATGTGGCTGGTCGTTGTCCATCGTTCTCTTCTCCCTCCATCTTTTTTGTATGTTGCCTTTGCCTGAAAACTTGGTGAGCCCCGTAAGTTGCATGGCATGGCAGGGTCCCTTCTCTGTTCGTTGGCGTCGCCGTCCATGGCACCGTCAGGCAGAGACAGGCACGCAGCGGTGGTACTGATAGTCGGTTGGAGTACTATAATCTGGTCATCATTTCCTGACGCTGCCAAGCTGGTTTGGAGTCCTTCACGTACTGGCAACACATGAGCAAGCACACTGACGTTTTGGTCGTTTCCAGTACGAATGCTGCGCGTACGTACTCCTACGTCCAGCTCTTTGCTATTTTCTTAGCATCGGTTCCTACAGAATCTCCTAAAATTCCTGTCATATCGAATGTTTGATGTATGTATAAAGTATTAAATATAGACTAATTATGAAACTAATTGCATAACTTACGACTAATTTACGAGATGAATTTTTTAAGCCTAATTAGTTCATGATTTGACAACGTGATGCTACAGTAAACATATGCTAATGACGGATTAATTAGGCTTAAAAATTCATCTCGTAAATTAACCTCCATTTATGTAATTACTTTTTATAATTAATCTATATTTAGTGCTCTATATTAATATTTAAATATTTAATGTGACATAAATTTTAAAAGCGACCGAAGAATCAAACACGCCCGAAGAAAAAATGCAGAGATCAGTCCAGCAGTCGGTTGTGCATGCCTCTGCTCGGAAAAGTGATGTGAGGGAGTACTGCGATGCATACGCAAGCACTGTGTAAACGTGAATGGATTTGCACTGCTTACGAGTCGACTAGCGAGCTCACGCCGCAGGTGGGCAGAGAGCTCAGTCAGAACTGTCTGTTGTGTTTCGAAAGACGCGGGCTGTAGGGTATTACACTAAGTCGATAGTTTCAATCTGCCTAATCGCTATCTCTTGTGTTTTATGTCATTGTTCAGTTTCCTCATGCGCATCTCCACTGATTCATCTACTATCGTGGGTATACCCCTCGGTAGACTGCCGACTAGATTTCGTCGACAGTGACGCTGTTTATACCAAAATTTGGAGAGAAGAATGCGGGAATTCGAAGGCTTCTAAAATTGTGCCCATCAAGAAATCGATTGCTTAAGAATCGATATCAGCTGATTCAGATACGACTCTGGAATCGGATCTCTTTGATGACGTCAGCAGATAGCGATGATGAGCTATGGTTGGCATCAAGAAATTGCATATTGGACTCTACAAAAAGGAAAAGATTAGGGTCCAAGTTATCTTAAATTAGGGATGTTTTCTTTTATGCCAAAGTCAGTAACAAGTCGTGCTCGAGTAGGATTCATGTTTAGGCTCTGGGTATAAATATCAGACCCTGCCTATTGTAAAGGACACACAATCAATTCAATACAAGTTATTTACTTTTTTCGGCTCTGGCCACCCCTTAGGAGTAGGAGTAGAGTAGATCTTGGCGAGTTCTTCAGCAAGTACGGCTGCATCGATCCGGTCGGCCTCCACTGCTTGTCTGTAAGTATCGTCATGGCTTATACTTCTGTTCGTATGGCTGCATCGATCCGATCGACCTCCACTGCGACTCTGGTATAAGCTAGTTATCGACTCTTGTCTAGTTTAAATAAGGCTGTATCGATCCGATCGACCTCCACTGCTCGAACTAGATTAAGGTCAAGTTATCGGCTCTACCTAAGGGTGACGTTACTTCGGATAGATTCATTAAGTTACCGATATTATTCATTGCTTCCATTATTTAATCAATTACAGCAATATCACTTCGCCCGATTGGGATTGATCTAGATCAACCTTATACTCTGTTTAACCCATCATTTGTTAATCTAAATTGATCTAATCTGCATCTTAAACGATGAGTTATGTTTTATCGGTCGTTTTATGTCAATCTTGATCGTGCATAGTGTGCGGTTAAGGCATGTTTTGTCTTGAATAGATCTATTGGCTAACGAAAACCGTTTCATGGCCAGTTATCATGGTCTATGTGATTCAGCCTCACATCCCACTATTAGCACCGTGGAGTGGGGGTCGTTACTTGGTAGATTCGTTCCTGATAGGGCATAACCTTAACTGTGCACTATGCCTGAATCGGCTGTTTTACCTGATATCGAGTGCTTTCACGAACAGTTCACGTTACGAGACCGTTGAAGTAGAGATAGGTTGAAAGATGCGTTAGCCCCATGATCTTATTATTGTATTACGGCCTACATGATTCTGTCTCATGCCCCACTGATATTAGTAATAAGTTACGGTTGTCAAGTCTATTGTTGTTTCTACGGCCTGTATGATTCTGCCTCATGCCCCACTGGTCATAGCGATAGATAAGATTTAATATGTTCATTAGATTTATCTTTATTAAATGGTTAAATGATGATGAACTGTTTCTTTTATATGAAAAGGGATTCGGTTACCTGCAGTCATTGGCTTAGCATAAATTAATCATTGTTGACATCCTTTTGCCATTGACTAATGTTTGTCTAAATAACGAGATCTAACCTAGCGATAACCGATTTATCCTCCATAATTTCATGAGATTTAACTGATTTATTCTTATGAATATGCTAGAATCGACTCTTTAGTCGATTTCCTTCTATATCGGCTCTCAGAGCCGCACATTCGGGACTGTCTAGCAACACCGGCATGTTTCGCCTTAAATTACTGATTAGCTTTCTCTCCTTGTCAATTGCAGGGTCAAATTGACTGGCACGTCTCGGGAGGAGTGCGTAGGATCGACCATCCTTGCGCTGAAGCCAGGCGGATCTCTAGCTCCATCGAGTGGACCCTTCCGGCTTGCTCGTGTGCCCTCGGCACGGGACGAAATTTCGTGCCGATACATACTCTATAAGTATATCGGCCACATCCATTTTAGTCCATGACAAATACTTCATCCGTTCCAAATTATAAGACATTTTGGCTTTTCTAGATTCATAATTTTTGCTATGCACTTAAATATATATTATATCGAGGTACATAGAGAAAGCTATGAATCCAGATATGCCAAAACGTTTTATAATTTGGGACGGAAAAGGTACTTGTACAGGTTTGCAAGGTTAAAGAGTTCTGCAGAACTAGATAAGCAAAACGGCAGCCACTTCTTGCGCCAATGGTTGGCATGTCTGGATCGATCCCTCAGTTCGCAATGTGAGAGATTCCGACTAGGGCCCGAGCTCCTTGCGACCAGCGACGCATGCGAGCTCCCTGCGACTAGGGCCGGTAGGCGAGTCCCCGAGATGACGCAGGAGATTCCGACCATGACCCTAGAGCCAACCCGAGTGGCGACGCCGGCGGCGGCAGAGATGGGAAGCCCGAAGACACCGGATGTGCCAGGCGGCTCTGCCACAGGTCAGGAGGGCAAGGGAAGGGCACGTCGATTCAGGACCGCACGGTGGGAGTCCCAATTGTAAGTTCCTTCGTCATTTGCGGTATTCCATCAGTACATAGTCTTCATTTTAACGAGTTGTTTCTTTGTGGTAGCGCGGAGGCGACTGAAGATCTATAGCCGTCGGCCATCAATTACAGGCAGCAGGCGTCGGAACAAGAAGCTCCTACCGCACCGCTGGAGGGAACAGGAGGTGACCCGACCATTCTAGTCGAGGAGGGGCCAGCGGCTTTAGTGCCAACTACTCCTATCATCGAGGAGCCGCCAACCGCCTGGCCAACATCTCCTGGTG